TATAAAAGGAGAAGCAAATCCATGATATTATGCCAAGTGTCATCACGAAATATCAACACGTGTCATGTTTTAAGACAAAACTCTAATAAATTTGGAGATTCAAAAAAAAATCAAAAAAAATTGAAATAGAAAAAAAATACAAATTTTTAAAGAATTATCAAATTCAGTTATTTACATCATGGAGTCATATGTTTTTAGGCACACATTTTTTAAAACTGAAAAGTAAAACAAAAATACTCGAATTCCAAAAATTGGACTCCCACGTTTTTTCCTAAGTTTTTTGTTTAATTTATTATAAATAAAAATTCGATAATTTGTTTTTACATAGAAATAGTAATAAATAAAAGGAAAAAAACACTCCACGGTCTATTCATAAAAAATGGACTCCCACATTTTTTAGTTTTTTATTTAATTGATTATAAACCTGAAAATTTTACTTCAATTTCTTTTCACATACAAATAGGAAGAAAGGAAAAACAAACACTCCACGATTGTCTTCTATAACCTAACCGTGGGTATCAAAACCTTTCTCCATAACTTAGAAACTGTCTCCTAATGTCCCAAGTGTCTGTTCCTCCTTTTATTTTATTTTCAGTCCCTTTTTTCTCTGCACAAAATACACAACTTTGCAAATATGGCTACAACCCTTCATGAAATCAGTCAAATTTTAAGCAACTCGATGCAATGGAATATGAAAGTGACAGTCGTTCGAATGTGGAAAATTCCGGATCCTTTCAAGCCTGATATACCATATTTCATAGAGTTGACTTTACAAGATCTATTTATATATAAAAGGAGAAGTAAATCCATGATATTATGCCAAGTGTCACCACGAAATATCAACACGTGTCATGTTTTAAGACAAAACTCTAATAAATTTGGAGATTCAAAAAAAATTGAAATAGAAAAAACTTACAAATTTTTAAAGAATTATCAAATTCAGTTATTCATATCATGGAGTCACATGTTTTTAGGTACACATTTTTTAAAACTGAAAAGTAAAAAAAAAATACTCTAATTCCAAAAATTGGACTCCCACGTTTTTTCCTAAGTTTTTTGTTTAATTTATTATAAATAAAAATTCGATAATTTGTTTTTACATAGAAATAGTAATAAATAAAAGAAAAAAACACTCCACGGTCTATTAAAAAAATGGACTCCCACATTTTTTAATTTTTTATTTAATTTATTATAAACCTGAAAATTTTACTTCAATTTCTTTTCACATACAAATAGGAAAAAAGGAAAAACAAACACTCCACGATTGTCTTCTATAGCCTAACTGTGGGTATCAAACCTAACTCCATAACTTAGAAACTGTCTCCTAATGTCATAAACGTCTGTTCCTCCTTTTATTTTATTTTTCAGTCCCTTTTTTCTCTGTTCAAAATACACAACTTTGCAAATATGGCTACAACCCTTCATGAAATCAGTCAAATTTCAAGCAAGTCGATACAATGGAATCTGCAAGTGACATTCGTTCGAATGTGAAAAATTCCGGATCCTTTCAAGCCTAATATACCATATTTCATAGAGCTGACTTTACAAGATGAAAAGGTAACATATTCAACTTTCATATAGTTATTAAGTAATTCCTCTTCTCTGCCGCTTTACTTCATAAATTTTTCAAAATTTTCAAAAACATGAAGATGTACTAATGAAACTATTATATATAGTACCTGTTTTGCTCTTTCATGTTAATAATATTCTGATTATTTTTCGTTCACAAAGATAATCCAAAAAAAAAATGTTGTTACATGATTTTTCAATTTTAAGGTTATTGACTTATTGTTAAAGAACAGGATTTCGGCAACCGGATTTTCTTGGTTCTTTAATATCTCATGCATCACTTATTCTCGAAAAATTACTACTTATCGTAGCGGCTGGTAGGCAACATGCTGCGAAAATCATATATGACTTATGGAACTAGACAATTTTGTCATTTGTTTATTAGTTGTAGTTTGAATTGTTAGTAGGAGACTCTATTTGTGGAGTGATATTTGGAGGGAAAAAAAATAGTAGTTTCAGATTTTGTTTATGCAATTTTATGTCACGAGGCTTATTAATACATTTTCTTCACAATTTGGATCTGAACAAATGTTTTGGATTGTGGGGTTTTAGATATATAGCAGCAGTTGGTAGGAGGCTCTGTTTGTGGAGTGATTTTTGGAAAGAAATAGTGGTTTCAGATTTTGTTCATGCAATTTCATGTCACAAGGCTTATTGCACGATGCTCTTACTTAACTTGCTAAGTCTGATATGAATTTTTTTGCTCCACCTAGCCTCAAAGTTCTAAGAAGTTTCTCCCGCCATTTATATAAATTGTTATTTCATTGATATGGAACGAACCATAGCAATTAGTATAGTTCACCTATAATGAATCTTTGTACTTAATAACATTTATTATGTTCAAAGTAAATCTCTGACAGATATTATATATAGTCGTGTCACATATCAATATGATACATCCTAATAATGAATGTACCTTTCTAGGGTAAACCAAATATTTTGTTAGATGATTTTTCAATTTTAAGGTTATTCTAATTAAGGAACATAATTTCGGCAATCGGATTTTCTTGGCTCTTTAATATATGATGCATCACTATATTTTGGAAAGCCTACTACTTATCGTAGCCGGTAGGCAGTACATGCTGCGAAAATTATATATGACTTCCCGTCAAGTCGTCAAGTTATTGACATGAGGTATATATACCAATCCAACCATGTCCTTCATCTGAGATGCTGCACATTTTATTTAAGTCTAAATAGATACTGACATTGGAACCATAATTTTAAATAACTCCAAATAGGCAAAGTACAATCATACATAGTATCACTGTAGAAGCTTTCATTGATTATCACTTCACCAATAAGCTTATTTAAGCAAGTATGAGTGTGTTGAACATTCAGAGATATTCAGAGGATGCATGAGTGTGCGGAACATGGAATTGTCATTTGTTCATTAGTTGTAGTTTGAATTGTTAGTACGAGACTCTATTTGTGGAGTGATTTTTTTGTAGTATTAACACATTTGTGGAATTGTCATGTTACGAGGCTTATTGCACGATTCTCTTACTTAACTTGCTAAGACTGATATAAAATTTCTTTGTTCCCCATAGCCTCAAAGGTCTAAGAAGTTGCTCCAGTCATTTATATAAATTGTTATTTCATTGATATGTAACGACCGTAGCGATTAGTATAGTTCACCTATAGTGAATCTTTGTACTTAATAACATCCATTATGTTCAAAGTAAATTTCTGGCAAATATTATATATGGTCGTCTCACGTAGCAATGTGGTACATCCTAATAATGAATGTACCTTTCTAGGGTTATCGTATACATGCCTCAATCAGGAAGTATGTAATTAAGTTCTTTAGGACCAAGATACAAGAACTCGGCTTATATCGCATGAACTACTTTATTGTCGGGCCAAATAACTTGAAATTAAAGACTACGACACACAATCTGATGCTGACATTTACACAGAGGACAGTTGTTGAGGAAACAACTGATTCTTCATTTCATATGAAAATATTTATCCTTCGTCCTTTTGACAAGCTAACAAATCAATATCATGTCGATGAGGCAGAATTATTCGGTCTTCTCTTCCGTTTTATTTTAATATTAGGTTTTGTAAACTTTGCGACTAACTTTTATATTTGTAGATGTGATTGGCCAGGTTGTGACCTATGAAACTATCCAGACCTACAAGCAAGGAGATAACAAAAGTGTCTTTATGAATGTTGAACTCGAAGATGAGCAGTAAGTCATTTACAAATGCAAACTATACTTTTACAATATAACTACATATATTTTCTTTATGAACATTTACCTTGAAACATATAGGAGGTTTCGGCAACCTTATGGGGAGAACTTGTGGATGAAATTCAGCCTCACTTGAATGGATCTATAGATGAACCTTTGACTGTTGTTTTACAACTTATGAAATCTCAAAATTTTCGAGGTTTGCATATTTTACATCTACATTTGAAATTTAGTTTCAGAAAATTTTATAATTTCAAATTTTTTATTTATTTTATACATAGGTAACTATTCGGTGCGTAAATGTTGGTACGCTTCAAAACTATGGATAAATTCTACTTAGCCGCAATCTATTGAGTTTAAATCTAGGTTTGTAAGGGTATAAATGTTGTATTTGTTTGTGCAATTCACTTTATACATACTTTTTACTGCATATATTGTACAACAGTTAAAGGAACTCTTTTAGGAGACATGACAGACGCAGTTAATATCAGCAACAATAATAAAAAGAAAATATCAACAATTTTTTCGGTCTTCAATTGGTAGATATATTTGTAGATTCTACCATCATGCATAGGCTTAAAGAGCAGTATATAGATTTCATTTAAATAATAATATATCTTGGTGTAGTGAACTCTGAAAGTTATATCTGTTTATGTTGTTTTAGCAGTTGCTAAGAAGCTTAGTTTCGTAGTTGTAGCTTTTCCAACCTTAATTAAAGATTTTAGGCGCTTGACAATAAATGTTAGATGTAATAGGCAGGAAAAACAAAAGTGAAGAAAGCAAACTTATAGGTAACATGTTTGTTAGTCAGTGACAACGATGCAGACAATGTTGTCATTCTTGCTATACCGTTTCCAAGAGATGTCAAAAGTTAACAAATGCATAGAGCATGCTGGGCACCTTCAGAGCACCCACACAAAAAATATGCATGAGACTAACATTTTGTTCAGTATTCCTGAAGTAGTTGGTAAGACTTATATGATATTTCTTGGTTCCCGTAGCCTAAAGGGTCTAAGAAGTTGCTCCACTCATTCAAAGTCTTCATAAACTGCAGTTCTTCATAACTCTAATTTTGAACAACATTACAGGTTATCTGGTTCATATTTATGAAGGATGTAACTTCTAAAAGACAATAAAACCCTCCTCCTTTGTCCGGGCTTGGGACCGGCTGTGTTACACGAGAATTCAAACACAGGCGGAGTTAAAAACTTAATATTTTTTTTTGTTCTTGAGGTTGGGAGCAGCATGACCTGCCATCACATTGCGATCATTGACAAGTCACCTTAGCACAGCCGGTCATCTTGAAGAGCTGAACTAAAGATTGAAGTATATGTGACAAGCCTCCATATATTGGATTTGATTTGCAAAGACGAATGCACTCCTTGAAAAAATATTCAGAATCTCAGATGTTCCATAGAAGGGCATTGGATCAGGCCGGATCAACTGAAATGTAGCTAGTTCTCTGTCTTCAGAATGTGCGAGGGGCATAAGAGGATCAAGTCCAATGAAAGCGTACTGCTAAAATATAATACATGTACATGAATTAGGTATCACCTGCCCCAGCTATGAGTGAGAATGGATATTTTGAAAAAGTCATTCAAAGGCCTCAATCGTCGACTTTCAATTAAGCAACCAAGTTCCTGGTTTAACAGTAGAAATATAGTCCTCAAGTAATTGGAGGAACGAATGGGTGCAGAAGGCTTAGCATTCAATCGGATATGGATTTAACATTTTAGCTCATACGCTGCCTCTGTTGTGGTGGACTCATATCCCATTGTCCCAGATAATATACATGGTGTGTCCAAGTTCAATCCGTTGGCAATGCATGTAAGAAAGTTGCCTTATTCGTTTATTATTTTGTTAGACCGTAGTCAAATGCAGATGGCTGTTTCAGCATACATCACCCTCGAACCAAAACAGGGACTCATCCTTATTCAGTCTAGTGAGGGTCCAAAAGGCTTACTCACGTACGACCCTTGGGGAACCACAATCACGTACACTCATTTCTGTCCCTTGCCAATTTATTGATCTATATTATCAACTCTATATCCAATCACGAGGCGCCAACATCCAATCTAAAATCAAAACCTTCTTCAGACTGTAGCGGATAATAAAGCAGGGCAGATTTCTACTTCACCCACGTCAATGACTAAAACAATTGCAGCACTAAACCATCACGTAGACTTGGGGTTGAGAGAGTGCAAAGTGTATGTAATAACCTCCAACAGATCGCCGGCATACAAAAAAAAGGAGTTCACGTCTGAATACACTGCACTCCTATAGAACAAACTGAGATTAAGAAATTAAAATGTAAGTAGATGTTTGAAGAAAAATCATTTTTTGCTCAAAAATCAGAAAAAGGAAGAAGACTTGACACAAATATCTCCAGTAAATTCAACCAGTCAAGAACAACCCGTGTGACTAAAACCTCATATGTAATAGAAAAATGCACCCAACAGTAAAAAAAAATCAATTAATCAGTTGGCATATAGCAGATTCCCTATTAAAAGCCAAAGTTAGAAACTCATAGCCAAAGTTAAAAATTCAAAGCATCAAGAAGACATGCAGATCCTAGTATTAAACCAGTAAGGATATAGCATCAAAGAACAACAAATGTAGCCAAATCAGCACAAACAAAAAAATCAGCCCATCAATAAAAAACACCCTTCGACCTCTCATATTTTCAAAATGCTTAGTCACCTCATATCACACATCATTAAAAGCTTAAACAACAATAATAATTATGCCTCAGTCCCAAACAAGTTGCGCATCAAAAAGCCTAAAGCATAAAAAATTATGTTAAATCGATTGAAGCCCTTAATTGAAACCTCCAAGTAGAATTCTTCCACCAAGCTAAATTGTACCAAACATCAAGAACAACACAGCCTCATTGTTCATCCTAATTCATGACAGCCCATAACTAAAAGCACCCCATCAAAATCTCCAGTTTTTCTATTCCCATCAGATTCTTCAATTTCATCACATCACAGCCTAAAAAATCAAGAACTATTAATATAAATCCTTCTAGCCCTTAATCGGTTATTCTAATGTAGCTCCATGATGACACCCCAACTGATTCCTCCTATTATGAGAATTCTTAATATAAACAGATCTAATCTTAACATGTCAAAAGCCCAAAAAATCAAAAATCTATCTAGACACTTTTTAAGCCTATAATAATAGTGTAGCATCAATCTAAACATCCTCAGATGGTTTTTCTTATTAGCCTAAAAATCTCTCGTCTAAACTGATCACGTCTTAAGTATATATCTCTAAGTCATAAAGATATAGTAACACATAGCACAACTAAAAACATATAAAGCAAGAAATCAATTAAAGTACTTTTTTTTTTTTTTCTTCTAATGCTTTGAAACGAATTACTAAAAAAACACATAAGCACAACTAAAAACACATAAAGCAAGAAACCAATTAAAGTAGTACTTTTTTTTTTCTTTTTCTGTTTTTTTTTCTTTCTTTGAAACGAATTACTAAGAAAACACATAAGCACAACTAAAAACACATAAAGCAAGAAACCAATTAAAGTAGTACTTTTTTTTTTCTTTTTCTGTTTTTTTTTCTTTCTTTGAAACGAATTACTAAGAAAACACATAAGCACAACTAAAAACACATAAAGCAAGAAACCAATTAAAGTAGTACTTTTTTTTTTCTTTTTCTGTTTTTTTTTCTTTCTTTGAAACGAATTACTAAGAAAACACATAAGCACAACTAAAAACACATAAAGCAAGAAACCAATTAAAGTAGTACTTTTTTTTTTCTTTTTCTGTTTTTTTTTCTTTCTTTGAAACGAATTACTAAGAAAACACATAAGCACAACTAAAAACACATAAAGCAAGAAACCAATTAAAGTAGTACTTTTTTTTTTCTTTTTCTGTTTTTTTTTCTTTCTTTGAAACGAATTACTAAGAAAACACATAAGCACAACTAAAAACACATAAAGCAAGAAACCAATTAAAGTAGTACTTTTTTTTTTCTTTTTCTGTTTTTTTTTCTTTCTTTGAAACGAATTACTAAGAAAACACATAAGCACAACTAAAAACACATAAAGCAAGAAACCAATTAAAGTAGTACTTTTTTTTTTCTTTTTCTGTTTTTTTTTCTTTCTTTGAAACGAATTACTAAGAAAACACATAAGCACAACTAAAAACACATAAAGCAAGAAACCAATTAAAGTAGTACTTTTTTTTTTCTTTTTCTGTTTTTTTTTCTTTCTTTGAAACGAATTACTAAGAAAACACATAAGCACAACTAAAAACACATAAAGCAAGAAACCAATTAAAGTAGTACTTTTTTTTTTCTTTTTCTGTTTTTTTTTCTTTCTTTGAAACGAATTACTAAGAAAACACATAAGCACAACTAAAAACACATAAAGCAAGAAACCAATTAAAGTAGTACTTTTTTTTTTCTTTTTCTGTTTTTTTTTCTTTCTTTGAAACGAATTACTAAGAAAACACATAAGCACAACTAAAAACACATAAAGCAAGAAACCAATTAAAGTAGTACTTTTTTTTTTCTTTTTCTGTTTTTTTTTCTTTCTTTGAAACGAATTACTAAGAAAACACATAAGCACAACTAAAAACACATAAAGCAAGAAACCAATTAAAGTAGTACTTTTTTTTTTCTTTTTCTGTTTTTTTTTCTTTCTTTGAAACGAATTACTAAGAAAACACATAAGCACAACTAAAAACACATAAAGCAAGAAACCAATTAAAGTAGTACTTTTTTTTTTCTTTTTCTGTTTTTTTTTCTTTCTTTGAAACGAATTACTAAGAAAACACATAAGCACAACTAAAAACACATAAAGCAAGAAACCAATTAAAGTAGTACTTTTTTTTTTCTTTTTCTGTTTTTTTTTCTTTCTTTGAAACGAATTACTAAGAAAACACATAAGCACAACTAAAAACACATAAAGCAAGAAACCAATTAAAGTAGTACTTTTTTTTTTCTTTTTCTGTTTTTTTTTCTTTCTTTGAAACGAATTACTAAGAAAACACATAAGCACAACTAAAAACACATAAAGCAAGAAACCAATTAAAGTAGTACTTTTTTTTTTCTTTTTCTGTTTTTTTTTCTTTCTTTGAAACGAATTACTAAGAAAACACATAAGCACAACTAAAAACACATAAAGCAAGAAACCAATTAAAGTAGTACTTTTTTTTTTCTTTTTCTGTTTTTTTTTCTTTCTTTGAAACGAATTACTAAGAAAACACATAAGCACAACTAAAAACACATAAAGCAAGAAACCAATTAAAGTAGTACTTTTTTTTTTCTTTTTCTGTTTTTTTTTCTTTCTTTGAAACGAATTACTAAGAAAACACATAAGCACAACTAAAAACACATAAAACAAGAAACCAATTAAAGAACTTTTTTTTCTTTTTCTGTTTTTTTTTTTCTTTCTTTGAACCGAATTACTAAGAAAACACATAAGCACAACTAAAAACACATAAAGCAAGCTCTGTCATGTCATCATTCTTCCACCAAGCTAAAATGTACCAAACATCAAAAACAACACAGCCTCATTGTTCAACCTAATTCATGACAGCCCATAACTAAAAGCACCCCATCAAAATCTCCAGTTTTTCTATTCCCATCAGATTCTTCAATTTCATCACATCACAGCCTAAAAAATCAAGAACTATTAATATAAATCCTTCTAGCCCTTAATCAGTTATTCTAATGTAGCTCCATGATGACACCCCAACTGATTCCTCCTATTATGAGAATTTTTAATATAAACAGATCTGATCTTAACATGTCAAAAGCCCAAAAAATCAAAAACTATCTAGACACTTTTTAAGCCTATAATAGTGTAGCATCAATCTAAACATCCTCGAATGATTTTTCTTATTAGCCTAAAAATCTCTCGTCTAAATTGATCACATCTTAAGTATATATCTCTAAGCCATAAAGATATAGTAACACATAAGCACAACTAAAAACATATAAAGCAAGAAACCAATTAAAGAACTTTTTTTTTTCTGCTTTTTTTTCTAATGCTTTGAAACGAATTACTAAGAAAACACATAAGCACACCTAAAAATACATAAAGCAAGAAACCAAATAAAGAACTTTTTTTTTTCTTTTTCTGTTTTTTTTTTTCTAATGTTTTGAAACGAATTACTAAGAAAACACATAAGAACAACTAAAAACACATAAAGCAAGAAACCAATTAAAGAACTTTTTTTTTTCTTTTTCTGTTTTTTTTCTTTCTTTGAACCGAATTACTAAGAAAACACATAAGCACAACTAATCTTTTTCTGTTTTTTTTTCTTTCTTTGAAACGAATTACTAAGAAAACACATAAGCACGACTAAAAACACATAAAGCACGAATTGGAAAAATGAAACGAAATTACGAATTGGAAAAATTAAACGGACTACTGAAGATAACACATAAAGAACACGACAGAACGAACGATCTAGAAAAAAAACAATGATTTAAGAAGTAAAAACAATGCAAGAAACGAAAAAAACACACAAAGAGCAACTAAAAACACATAAAAAAAAGGAAGTAGAAGAACACAAATTAAGAACATATGCAAGAAAACATGAAAGAAAGGATCGGAATAACAATCAAGGTAAGAAAGAGAAAGGATACCAATAACTTGTTGCGCCACCGGTCATGATCAAGAAATCTCTCTCAGCCTGCAGATTATCGTCAAAGTCGACGGTCCTTTTGATTTTATCAATAGCGAACCGGGCCGCCATTCGTTCTCTCTTCCGCTGAGACTTTGCTAACGCTTCTTGGAACCGCTTCTCCCACAGGTCAGTTTTCTTCTCTTTTTCATCCAACTCTTGTTGCTGGGATTTCAATATCAAATCAACGTAGCGTTGCTTAAGCATCGCTGCCCGAAGCTTTTTGTTGTCGTCCTTTTCCAACTCCTTTTTAGCATCAAAGTTCGTAATCGAGATCTTCCTCTTTCTGCCGCCGCAGCCCATAATATTCCCTGTAACTTGGTCTGGCTGACAAGTATAAACCAACACCATAGCTAAAGATTATGAATGGTTAATGAATTATGAAAGGTAATCAATGATTTAGTACTACTTATATAGACAAGGGTGTGAAGCCCTTGCCCCAAATAATTAAGGCCCAGCACTACTATAATATAATTTATATTAATATAATTATTAATAACACAAGTTTTAAATTTTAATATTTGGTAGAAGTAAGTTAATTTTTCTCATTAAATAATATATTTACCTTCTAATCAATTTTATTTTTCTTCCTTTATGTATAGCCTTTTTTCATTGTTCTCACGATTTTACTTTCTAATTTCAACTCAAATTCTCTAAGTTAACTATTCCTTTTTGTCATATTTGATTGATCCACACACCATAAAACAAGTTCTTTGTGTCTATTCTTTTTTAACTAAGAAATTCCTGAGACAAATGTCGCAAGGTTCAAAACACGATGGATAATAGAATCACCCTTTACCATTTTCACTTTAGGGAAGAATTCAATACCACATGACGTGCGCCTAACTCATACATCACTAGTTAATTTATCCGCGCGAAAGTAATTAAAATTTGTCTAAATAGTTACTCCCACCGGTCCATTTTAAGTTATTTTTTGGCCTTTTTTGTGGCCCATAATATTTGATTTTTTCAAATATCAAGAAAGAATTAATTTCTTTTTTCCAAAGTTGCCTTTGGAGTATAGTGTCTAGGAGTATTTGTTGTATTTTCAATGAACAAATTAAGATTAATATGGACAATTATATTGTTAATTAATGCTAAAAGATAATTTCTTAATATGTGTGAAAACAGCCAAAAAATTACTTAAAGCGAACCGGAGGAAGTATGTTGTAATTTATAATTAAGAAGATCAATCTTTTACATATCAAATAAGTGGATTAAAATTATTCACAAAGAATTCAAAAGTATTGAGTAAATAATATAATACTTGTATTTTGATATTTTCTTCCCCGTAACTTTCTCTGTAGCTTGGTCTGGCTGACAAGTATAAACCAACACCATAGCTAAAGATTATGAAAGGTAATGAATGATTTAGTACTACTTATATAGACAAGGGGTTAGGCAAGTGAAGCCCTTGTCCCAAATAATTAAGGCCCCAAATATAAGAAGCACTACTATAATATATAATTCATAATTTATATTAATATAATTATAAATAACAGATTTTAAATTTTAATTTTTAATATTTGATAGGCGTAAGTTAATTGGATAAATTTTTCTCATTAAATAATATATTTACCTTCTAATCAATTTTATTTTTCTTCCTTTATGTATAGCCTTTTTTCATTGTTCTCACGATTTTACTTTCTAATTTCAACTCAAATTCTCTAAATTAACTATTCCTTTTTGTCACACTTGATTGATCCACACACCAAAAAAACAAGTTCTTCTGTGTCTCATTTTTTTTAACTAAGAAATCTCTGAGACAAATGTCGCAAGGTTCAAAACACGATGGATAATGGGCTCACCCTTTACCATTTTCACTTGAGGGAAGAATTCAATACCATATGACGTGCACCTAACTCATACATCATGCGTTGCGCTCTCACCATGTCACGACCCAAAACCTACTATAGGTCGTGATGGCGCCCAACGTCGCTGTTAGGCAAGCCAATACTTAATTATTCATTTTATTAGTTTTAAAATTTTGAATCTTGTTTAGATAGAGAAGCCAGTGCATTTAAAATAAATCAGGGTTACTTACAGTATATTTAAAATATAAAGTACAAGTGTGCCAATGTAAAATAATCTAAAAACAACTTCTAGAATAACCCCCAAAATCCGGTGTCACAAGTGCATGAGCATCTACTAGGAATGTAATAAAGTACAACATCTGTCTTGAATTCAAGTTAGACAGGAGAATGTAAATAACTCTGATGGAGACTCTGTATGTTGCGGATCGTAACATGGAATGTAGCTCACCGTAAAGTCCTCGCAACAGCCGTGCCTTGCCGCCCAAAAGACCACCAGACATATATATATATATATATATATATNATAATAAATCAAATACAATAGGAAGTAAACAAATGTAAGGCAGGGTAATAAACAATATAAATAAATATAGGTACATGGTACAATCCTCCTCTGAACAGTAAACTCAAGCTCTCAATCATCAGTCACCTCCTCAACTGGAGTATATATGAAATGGACCTCACCAGATAGGTCGTCACAACTCAAATTAGGAAAAACACACGGATACGCTGGTTTCTTGTCAAGTATACGCATGACACTACCGAGGCGAACGGCCCGATCCCATAAGAATGTGGTACTGCCGAGGCGAACGGTCCGATCCCATAAGAATATAATACTGCCGAGGCGAACGGCCCGATCCTATAAGAATATGATACTGCCGAGGTAAATGGCCCGATCCCATAAGAATATGATACTGCCGGGGTGAACGGCCCGATCCCATAAGAATAAGAAGCTTTAACAGGTCCTTGACCCCACTCGCGAATAAATGTGTGAGTTATGAGCTTTAAGGAAAGCTTTGCGATGGAAACGCATAACGCGAGAGAAATTCGTAAGGGAAGCACAACCATTCCACGGCTAATCAAGTCGCTCATCAAATCTCTACAATAGCAGTCTATCACTCTACGCAAGCCTAGTCCAAGTCAAATTCTCTAAATTAACTCAAATAGTACAATTAAAGCAGGGCGTGAACATAAGTCTTCCCGGGCATAATTAGGAATTCTAGCATACGCATGGACACTCGTCACCTCATGTGTGTGTAGCTACCATAACACGTAACATATAGGAATATAACACCTACGGGGTAAATTTCCCCTTACAAGGTTAGACATGAGACTTATATCACTCCGAAGTTCCATAACCGGCTCCAACACCTCTCAAACACCTCAAACCAAATGCCCATCGATCCGAACTAGTCAAACAATGTGCAAACCAATAAGAATATACTCTAATACTCATAATTAATCAATTTATAATGATTCCCAACTCCGCTCGAAAAGTCAACAAAGTCAACCCTCGGGCCCACGTGCCCGAATTTTGAAAATTTTCGAAGATAACTTTACCCATGACATCATAACTCAAATATATAATTTATTCCTAATACCATTTCCAAAATCGTGGTCAAAATCCAAAATTATAAATTCTAGGTTATTCCCTTAAATTTCCATAATTTCCATGAATTTCCACGTTAAAATCTATATATAATCCAAGTATTTAACTTGCATTAGGTGGAAATTACTGACCTCGTGATGCTCGATGAAAATCCCTTCAAAATAGCTCCCCAAATTCGGCCATCCAATTGGAAAATGAGAGAAATGAGAGCTAAGTCTCGATTTTAAAGAACCCTTTTGCCCAGCGAAAATCTCGCACCTGCGGCAGTAATGTTGCACTTGCGGTGTCGCTTTTGCGACTACACCTCCGCTTTTGCGAAAAATCACCCAAACACGATACCTCGCACCTGCGGAAATATTATCCGCTTATGCGACATCGCAGGTGTGAGCCTCATCCGCTCTTGCGCCTTCTCTCGCTTTTGCGCCCAATGTTTCACTTTTGCGATTGCGCAGATGCGACCAAAGCTCCGCAATTGCAGCCCTTCCTCTGGGTGGCCTTCTCCGCTTCTATGACAACCTCCCTCGCACATGCGACCAAACCACCGCAGGTGCGATGACACTAGACTTCAGCAGTCTTCAGCATTTCCTCAAATCCAATTTCAATCCGTTTCAAACCCGAGGTCCCCGGGACCCCATCCAAACATACCAATACATCCCAAAATATAATACAGACTTAGTTGAAACCTCAAACCACGTCAAACAATATCAAAATTACGAATTGACGATCGAAACCTTTCTTTTTAACTTTCAAACTTCCAAATTTCGACGAACGCATTGAATTACACTTAAACATTCCGGAATGAAGTTAAACTTTATGCACAAGTCATAAATCACAAATACGAACCTATTCCAATGTTCGGAATCCCAAACGGATATCGATAACACCAAAGCTCACTTCAAATCAAACGTATGAAATCCTTGAACTTTAAAAATGCAAGCGCCGAAATGCTCCCGGACCACCCGATACTCGACCCAAACATACGCCCAAGTCCGAAATCATCATACAAACATATTGGAACCTTCAAATCTCGATTCCGAGGTTGTTTACTCAAAAGTCAAACCTTGGACAACTCTTCCAACTTAAAGCTTCTGAATTGAGAATTTTCCTCCCGAAACGACTCCGAACTTCCCGAAATTCAGTTCCGACCACATGTACAAGTCATAAAACATGATGTGAAGCTACTCAAGGCCTCAAACCGCCGAATGACACGCTAGAGCTCAAAACGACCAGTCGAGTCGTTACATTCTCCCCCACTTAAACATACGTTCGTCCTCGAACGTGCTAAGAACTGCTCCGGAGTTGCCCCAAAATCACCGTCCAACACTTTGTGTACCTACCCAGGCCCCCAAAACCCAGTTGGGCGCACTAGCTCTAGCCAGACTGAAGATCCTCCCTTTTATTTTAGCCAACAAGCCTTAGGACCAAATTCTAACCTCCGAATTTCTCTACAAGACTTAATTCCAACATATGAACACCGTATCAATCTCGACACGCTGAACCCACGCATGATCATCCACCCATGCTGACATCACACAATGCACCGCATCAATCATTTGCCCATGGTAACTTCCTCCAAGCACAACAGCTGCAAATTCACTGAGCAGTAGTACATATCATAACCCATATAAGTCTGGTATCAATCCTCACAATACTGCAACGATGAACGAGATGCGCAGGAACTCATAACCACCTGTCAAATTAATAACTCGCAGAGTTTCTCCACTTGACAAGAACCGTTACCTCATTTTGAACTGAATAATGACATTCTCTCTTTAATATACCTTACATAAAATCTGATCGCACTGATTTCAGGTCCAATAACCTCGTCTCACCCAGTACAAGCTGCACAGGCAATAAGCCACCACAAATACTGACCAAGATCTGATATGACGCCATCAATGCACCAACAAGCTATAAGTTGAATATGCCACATAAGGAGGAACGAACTCTGAAAAAGAACTACCCAGCCCGCG